AAAAGTAATTGTCAAGTAACATTTAATGGAGAATATAACAATAATAAAAAATAGGGCATATGGGATATTTGGTGGAAAAAGAATTATGAAGATTATAAGAGCGAAAAAATGTAAGATTAGAAATATATTTATTATGTTTTTACAATAATATAAAATAATAGTGGTGGTGGATTATATGTTTAAAAGTAAAAAGAAAGCGATGGCAATCTAGATTCAATTAAAATTGGAATTTGGATAGAGTTAGGTGATTGTTTTTGGGAGTATTTCATTTGATGGATTATTATAAATATAGTTAAAGTTAAGTTATTTATAAAGGTTAATACAAAAATGGTATAAAAGTTAATAGATGGAATATTCTATATAGAAACGATGATGATAACTGCTTTGAGTATATGTAATGATTGAATTATAAAGTAATATTTTTAATTAGTGGGGGAGGAATATATCTTGATATTCAAGGAATATCTTGTAATATAAGTTCAATCAAGATTGGAAATTGGGTTGAACTAAGTGATTCATTTTAAGAGTATTTATTTAAAAGATTATTTATAAACTTAGTTTAAGTTAAATTACTTATAATGGTTAATATTTAAATGGTCTAAAAATTGGTAGATGGGATATTTTTTATAGAAAAAATAACAATAAACCATTTTAATTGCTGTAAAAAATAATTTATATTAATATTTTTACCCAATTAATAGTGGTGGTGGTTTATATGATGAAGATAAAGGTTCAATTAAAATAGGAAAATGGACTGAAGTTTATGATGGATTTACAAGGTTTTTATTTATTAAAATTAATTAAATTATTAGTTAGAAACAAATTATATATTATGGGGAATATCAAAATGGTAATAAAATTGGTAGATGGGATATTTTTTATGAAAGTATTTTAATGTAAGAATTGAAAAATATTTAAGTGGGGGTGGATCATATGATTAAAAATAAAAGAGTAAAGATCCTATTAGTTATATTAAAGTTGGAAGATGGATTGAATTGAGTAGGAGATTTTAATAGTATTTACAGTTTTTTTACGATAATAGTGTAAGTTAAGTTACTTATCAGGGTGATTATATAGATGGTTAAAAGATTGGAACATGGTATACTTACTGGAATTGGAATGGAAAAAACTAATAGATGTAATATTAAAATCTTAATTTTACTAAAATTTAGTGGTGGAGGATATTATAATTGTTATATATAAAATGAAGAAAATATTTTTTCAATAAAGACTGGATAATGGATAGAATTAAACGATAATTTCAACTTTTGGTCTTAAATACTTTGTAGTGGTGAATACTAAAATGGGAAAAAAGTAGGTTTATGGTCTTAGTTCGATTTAAAAAATAGAAATAATATTATGTATTTATATATTTTGGAAATATATTTAAAATTTAGCAAGTAGTTTGAATGTAGTTGATATATATAAATTGATAAAATACAAATACCTAAAGTATTTATTAGCATTTAATTTTCTTTTTTAGCTTAAAATATATGTACTCAGAAAATAAATTTTTATGATACTCTCAAAATTGTAATTATTCAAAATACCACTAATAATCAAATTTACAATTCTTCAATCAAGTTTTTTTTCATAAAATTTTTGATTTTTGGCTATTTTTTCATTATCAAATATCTATAATCAATTTAGTAAAATCAAAGGTTTTAATGATTGGTCTACTTATTTACATTTTATTTGATTATTTTAAGATTAAGGATGTCAATTGTTTAATATAATAGATAAATTTAATTATAATTATATATAAACCTTAGAACAAAAATAGATTTACCTCAATTTTTCATCAATTCTAATTAAAAGTCATTCAAAAAACATTAGTGTAGAGCATATCAATATTTAAACATAATTCAAATTACAGAAACTTTAAAAGTGACTATCTTAATTACTCTAATTAAAATACATCCATTCAGATTGAATCAAATTATTAATTGTAAACAAAGTTATCCAAAAGGAGAAAAAGATTATTCTATTGAATATGAGATTATAAAATTATTGATTAACATATATTCTTATGAGTTTGTTCTAATTTAATTAACTATTATATCTAAAAAGAGTTTTATTTTGTTTTTTAATCAAATTTTTCATATTTTATGAATAAAAATACAAAATTATTTAATTAATATATAAATTATTAGTTATTTCTTTTTTTTTTTTTTGCCTTAATATCTTCATATCTTGCCGTCTTAAAAGAATAATTCTAAACAAATAAAAATGATATAGGGATACTATTGAATCTAAAAACATTCCTTTTTCAAAATGTCATTTTTAACAAAAATGATAATAATTAGCCTTTATAAGAACTTTGAAATAAATAAATAATTGATATTGAAATAAAGAAAATTTAAGATAAATTAAATAATTTTAATTTATTTAATAATTAATCATTAAAAAATGTTGGATAAAGAATGTTGATTTTTTTTTAAATACTCTTATATTCTTAATATTACCACAACTAATCTTCTTAATTGTTTATATATTTGATAAAGAAATCTCCATTTTTGAAAGCTATCAATCACCAATTGAAAAGGTCATTAAAATAATGCAAACTCAAACTCAAACATTAAAATATCTATTATAGTAATAAAAATATCCTATTCTAAATTATAGGTGAGAATTTCAAACTAATAAGTGCTAAAGAAATGTTAACTTCACAAATAATTATTTTAAATATTCTGATTTATCTTATAACTGAACATATTTGAATAAATATAAAATCATAGATATTGATAAAAATGTAATGCCACCTATTTAAAAAATTGAAAATTCAAAAGTGAAAATTAATAAAATCATAAAAATAGTTTTTGATTAAGAGAATTGCTTTATAATATTTGGAAATTGATTTAATTCAATTCTTTCAAAAAACTGCCTCATTTTTTCTCTTTTTATATTTGCATTTAAAAGAGTATTTCTAATTAAATAATATAATAAATGCGAAAACGATATATTGTAATTCCAATGCAAGCTAAAAAAGAGCTATAACTAATAAAAATATTTGGTGAATAAAGTTCTAAGGGATATAATTAAAGTATTTTACTAAATGCAAAATCATATGCTATTGCCATATAAACTCTTAAAATTAAACTATAGAAGAGTTCTGAAATGATAATATAAAATAAATATTAATAAAATACTTAACAGCTAAATATTATACTAGAAACTTAATTTTACAAGCAATTAATTTTCAATTTCAGATTCAGAGAAAAACTTACATTTTATTTTATAGAAGATTTTAGATATAACTATTACATTTACATGGATAATAAAGAGAGAAATCCAAACAGTAATGATTGATGAGGCCGAGATTATTTCAATTTTTCTCTAGCTACTTTTGTTGGTATTTTTTTAGAATGAATTAATAAAGAATTAAATCAATAATACCTTAAATATCTAATATTTTTTTTCAATAAAATAAATTTAGGCAAACCCAAAAACGTCAAAATATGTCTACAAATTATAAGTTAATTAAGTTTTGATAATGTCAGATAGGATAAAGTATGAAATGGGGGATTTTTCGCTAAAATTTAGAGTGTATCAATTATACTATAAAATGCTTGAATTCCTCCAAATAATATTGATGTTCCAAATAAGGCACTAATAAAATAGAGCATATAAACATTACTCTAAGTAGTTATCTAAATAGATTGAGGAATTATATCATAAAATGATATTTGAAGTAATCCTGCATTCAACAAAGAAAGAATTAAAAAAGACTTTAGGTGGATTAATTGATTTTTTTACGATTAATCCTTTTTATATTGTTATTTCATATAAAAGAGACAAAATGACAAGCAAATTAAAGCTAAAGTTCATAATTTAAACAAAAAGTCTATGGGAAAATACAATTTTCTTTAATAGTTAATAAATTAGTTAATTAAGATTTAAATATTATTTGTATTTCTATTAAAATTTTTAATATTTTAACATGATAATTAGTGGAACTATTAGTTATTTATTTGGTCAAAAACCAATACCTCTGCGAGTGAAGATAAATCGAGTTATTGATTATTATTATTAAGAAGATAAGGAACTTTTTTTGAATTAATGCGAAATTTATGATGGAGAGCAAAAGGCAACTATTTACATTGAACATCAATTTAAACTCAATTCTTAGAATGTTCAGTTATATCACCCTCTTTTGGAGATTATTTAATTTAAAAAGGAAAAAGAAAAAGTGATTGTAGAAAAATTTTTAATAGAAAAAGTATTTTACTTAAGCTATTATAGTTTAATGAATTCGAAATAAATTTAGATAAATATGTATTAAATCAAGAATTTTAATATGTGGATGGATCATAAATTGATTAAGAATTAAAAGGAAAGTAGTATTATAACGTCAAAGCTGTAGTTATTAAAATAAATCTTAGAAAAACAAATACTGGTTCCCCCTATTTGAAAGTATAAATAGCTTAACATATCACTCAACATTAATACATAGTAATTATTTTTGAAAATCGATTTAATGGATTTCAAACAATTAATTTGAAAGAAGGTGAGGATTATATTTTTTACAATATTAAAAGTGAAATTTATGAGTAATAAGACATAATTAACACAGTTTTTACTTAAGGAGAAATAAGATTATATGTTGAAAAAATTACTAAAATAGATCATATAAAATAAGAATTAAAATATGTTGATTTCAATATAATAAACTACCAAAATAGTTCAAAATATTATGATTTTTTAGGTTATACTTTAAAAATCAATACTAATAATCCCTAATATCAAATATTAACTCTTATTAGTATTCAAAAAGTAAAAGTATATGTTTTAATTCCAAATCAATTTTGCAAGCTTATTTCATTTGGATTACAATAGGATAAGTTCTATGGATTTAAAAATGTAAAAATTATAAAATATTCTTATCGATTTGTTCTTTTGTTTAATGGATAGTCATCTTTGATTCCAAATTTAAATATTCTCCCTAAATAAAAATTCCAAAGATAGGACTTTTTATAATATACAAAGCTCTAAGTTTAATTAAAATGTTCAAGTCTTGAAGACTTAAAAAGCGACTTTATTGATAAAAAATTTTATTATATTAAAGCTGAAATATAATCCATCAAAATGGTAGCTTGTTAAAATAAAGATTAAGTCAATTTAGATATTACGTTTTCAAACAGCTAAAATTGTTAAATTATTGTTAGAGTTGACATTTATAAGCATATTGTCAAGATTTTAAGTATTAATTCATATAAATAAGGTTTGGAGGAATATATTAAGGATACTTCGGCAAAGGCATTTAATTTATTAACCAATCGATTACAAGAACATATTTTAAAAAATGCTCTAGGGGATCAGATAGATTGTATAGTTTAGGGACTTAAAAGTGATTCGATAAACGAAAAATAAAGTCGTTTTAGAATGGTCAAAATTTTTCAAATAACTAACCTTAAGAAAATAAAACAAGAGTGAATATTTTAATCCGATATATTATTAGGATATGTTTTTCTTTAAAAATACATGAAGTGTTAACCATAATCTATACATTTTTGTTGCTTTTATCCAAATATTTATTTTATAATAATTTTCAAATTGATCACATTTTTAAAGATTTGAAATTATATTCATTTATGAACTTCCTCTTAAGTATGTTTTCTTTTGATCATAAAAAAAATTTAGTAGAAGATTTTTTTTAAATCTTAGCTATTTTGATTAATAATTTTATTCAACAGTTTTCTTTGTCTCTCAAAACTCTTTATTGTGTTATTCTAAATCTTAAGAACTTACATCTTTAAACCTTTTTTGTTAGATAAAAATATTCAGCAGCTGCTATTACCAAGCCTTTTTTATAAAATTTAAATACTTGGGAAGTACTGACATTGATGGTGAAAGTAGAATTGGTAAAGAATATCGCAAGCTGGTCTACATCCATATTCTGGAAGTAAAACATTATTTGAAGGACACTGATTATAAGCCCCATTTAGAAGAGTCTCATAGAGATATTGAAAACATAAATTAAATTCTGGGCCAAAAAATCTATCACATAAATAATATTATTTATTTTCGATATTAATATATTCTTTAATTAAACCTACCCAACTCCTTACTTTTACCTATTAAATTACATTTTACTTTTATTCGAATTTACTAAAGTTAAATTAATAGTTTTAATTTCTACATAGCATATTTCGCAAAACTACGTATAATTTTCTAGCTATCAAGGTGTTTGATATTAAATGCTAATACATCAGTTCCTATTTAAAATATTATTAATCCATTTTCCACATAACTTGAAAAAATTATACCAAAGATATGTCAGAGCCTTTCTATAGTGTTATACTCTTTGATTATATGACTGCATCCATAACACCATAAAATAAATTTAATAAGTTAAAAAACTTAGATTCCTATTAATTTACCAGAGATTGATTATATGAGGATTTTTTTTTTATTTTTTTTGATTTTCAAAAATAATTATAATTCTTTAAAAATTAAATGGCCAATAGCCAAAATAAATGCGAAATCTAAAAATTCAAGCTTCCCTTAATAAATTAATTTATCCATCATTAATAAAATAAATAACATAAATTCAATTAAATCGTTAATAGCATAACTTAAAACACTATTACTTTTATTAAATAAAATTAGTTGCTTTTCAAAACTGATTATCTTTGTAATTCTTGCAAACTTTTTCCTTTAATTTTTGTAGGATAGTAAAATGAGTTTTCTCTTTATTAAGATCGAATTATTTTATAATATTTTCATTTTTTGGCTTGTAGGTTATTAAAATTTTAAGAATGAAATATCCTTATAATAAATGATCTAAATTACATATCCTCTCTCTATTTGAGTTAATTAGATCATCCCTTTACACCTTAAATAAAATAAAGGTAATAATTTAATAGTAACTTCTTATTTCAAGAGTCAGCCAGAATAATAATTGTTGTATAAAATCAACATATTACATTAGCAGATGAGTTGCTAAAGTAGCTATTTATTCGTGAATTCAAAAAGCTTTACCTCAAGGAGAAGATCTTTCAAAGCTTTGGGGCTTTTGCCACGCTTATTTCAAGCCTGCTTTGATTGTTACAGCTATTAGGAGTTAAAAATATTTGCAGATTATAACAAATACATATCTCATTAAAATAAATTTTTTGAAGATTACTAACTTATTAATATTCAAACCCAAAGGTCTAGTCAAACTAATTTTACAATATGAAATAGATGAAATTTAAATATTTATTAGAAAATTGATTTTAAAGATTTTAAATTAATTATCTTTTTCTATCATTTTTAACTTTAAAGAAATCATTAATATTTTTTTAAAATGAAAACATCAATCTAAAATTATTTAATTTATTTATAACCTAGTCTTGAGAGCAAAGCCACTAAATTTGGTTGACTAGTGAGATTGCTCGAGTGTGGAGTAAGTATAGAAAAAAATTCAAATGACAATTTAAAACAAAGAGTATATTATTTATTCAGCCTATATAGCAAATTTATATTCTTTAATTTAACTTTGCATTGATTGTATCTAAATTTATTTATCATATTCTTTTATATTTTTATATTATTTTTATTATTAATAAATTAATTATTTTTCATTTGATTGACCATTTGTAATTTTCTTTGATAATCTTATAAGCAGCTGTTCCATTGTACTATTTTTTATTTTATTATATAATTTATAGAATTAATGGAAGCCTTAAATTAAAAATACAAATCTACACTTGAAGGAAATATATTTAAAATATTAATTACAAAAGGATTTTAGTAGTATAAAACTTGAAGCTGTTTATTTACACTTTAAAATGAGATAGAAAAAGATTTTTTCTATCAATTAATTACCACAAATTGAAATGATAGTAAAAAATGCTTTTCTAGTTAAAGTATATAGAAATAGTTAAATAGATTTTGTATAATTGTTAGGGCTAGTAGTGAATATTTATGTTTTGCTATCATTATCTTTATAATTATCAATAATGTGATTGTATAGTCTTTCATTCTCTCATCTGTCAAAAATTTAAGTTATAATGTACAATGATAATAAAAACAAAAACAATGAACATATAAGCGAAGAATCATCTGAATTGTTATTGTGCATAAAAATTATGAGACAATTTAACATGTTAGATAGGGCTCAGGTTGTAAACATTAAAATAAAAGCAGCAAAAGAGTTAAAAGAATTGATTGAATATATGGTAGCTAGACAAACCAATAGTTTTAATTAATGTTGATATTAGTTTCAAGGAAGAAAAAGAAATAGTTTATTGCTAATCATATAGAGAGTAAAATAAAAGATAAAAATTAAAATTAAAGAAATATGCAACAATTTTGATACTGGAAATAGTCAAAATGGAAATAAAAATACAAAACCAATTAGAAATAATGATCATTAGCTTTTGAATTTATCTTAACTTAGAGATTCTTTTTAATGTTTGTGCAAATCTATATTAATTTATTTATTTAAGTTAATCTGTAAGACATAAATGTGAACTCATAGAAGAATTAAAATTATTAATAAATCTCTCTTCATTATTATATAATATCAAAAAAGATTATATATGTACAATCTAATCTATTGAAACCTACGTATTGATCTAAGACCTATAAATAATCAAAATTGAAGGATATACTTAAAAAGCTAAGTGGAAGGATTTTGATATCTCACATTATATTCTATTATGAGTGTATTGACAAATCTTAAAAAAATGTCAATATGGTTGTGATTTAAAATTAAAAAGTTTCAGTATTTCCTGTTCTCAATGTAATTATCAATTAATAGGATTTAAGTAGTGATAGAAGTAGGTTAGATGAGGAAAATGCTGTATAGAATATAATCTCATTTATATTAATATGATTATTAAAAATTGTAATCTGGCTTTTTAGGTAATTAGAAATAATAATAATATATTATTAATATTACAACATAAGCTTAGATAATTACAAAAGATAAATTTAAATATAGATTTATTTTATTGATTCATTAAGTGAACTTCTTCTTTGAATAATTAAAATGTAATTAAGGCATTTTAATATTGGTAAATGGCTAAAGAATTTCATCATTAAATTCAAGATTAATACCTAAAATAATTTAGCTAAAAATTATACTAAATTATTATGCTTTTATTTCTTTACATATAATAAGTAAGTAGCTCTTAATTCTTCTAGTATAATCATTTAACTTTGTAATATCGAATTGTCCTTGTATTTTAATTAGCTTCAATTAATTTTCAATTATTTAACCTTTAATTATTATAGATTCACTAGTTGAGCTATCAACTATGCAAGCAAATAATAAATAAAATATTTTTGGAATAGTATTTATGAAATAATCTAAACCAACTAGTTGAATTGTTGTGTTTGCACTACAAAATTTTTCAATTTTTAACAAAGATTTTTAAAGATTGATAATTTTCGTTTTCATTTATTAACTCTAAATTGATGTGATTATTTCTTAAATTTAAACCTTATTAGCTAAGTTATGGAATTAATTATAATCAAAAGGTATTTTTTTCTTAATTATTTTAATAAAAACAGTTAACAATTTTAAATACAATTGACAAACTTTCTAGACTTCCTCATTTTAAAATTCTGCATGTTATTCTTTGGTCTAAATTAGGATAGTTGGTTAATTTCCAAAAAATATAGAAAAATCGACTGACATTAATTATTTATCAAACTTAATATTAATTGAATGATTCATAATTTCCAAATATTTTTATGAAAAATCTTATAACTTATGAAATAAATATTGTTCTAATGAACTATTATCTACTTTGGCCTCCCTTAAAAATTTCAAGACATCATCTTATGATTGAATGGATTATGAAAAAGTGGAAGTGGAAAATCTACAGTATGACCTAATTTTTCAATAATGACCAGTATAAATTACTACTCAAGTTTTTTAACAATTCATGCTAAAAATAAATCTAATATTGAATATTAAATAAAAAGCAAAAAATAAAAATTATTATTTATTTTTAGATTACTTAATTTTTAATAATTTTTTATGATTTTTTTGATATTCACTGATTTAAATTATATCTTAATTAAAATTACACAACCTAACTATCTTACTTTAGCGTGCATTAATTGTCTATACTTATAGTTTATTAATCCAAATTATCAGTCTAATTAAATCTATCTTACATAATTATCATACTATTTATATATAATTTTTGAATTAAATGAAACAAAAAATTAAGTCTGAATTAATATCCATTAAATTTGTTCTTGTGTAATTACTGCATTTGAAGTCTAATTAAACTGACAATATTTTTGTTCAAGGCTTGCTATTTTTAATTCAAAAAATTTAACTAAGATGCTCTTTTGGCTGATTGCTAATTCAATAAGTATGAAATTATTATATAAAATTTATTTTTAGCAATTTAATAGAATTACAAATTAATATAAAATATATGAATTAGATAAAAGAAGTTTAGATAAAATGTTCTTAAGAAGGACATGATTACGTAGAACTAGCTTGTTTTAATGAATTATGCAAGGCGAATAGAGTTTATTGTCATTAATGTCTTAAAAATGGAGATCATGTTGCTCATATGAAAATTAAAAAAATTTTAAGGAACTTATTGAGTTTTTCTAAAAAACTGATAATGAAAGTGAAAGTTTAATCTCGAAAATAAGTGTAATGGTAGAAGAAATAAATGATCTATTTACTATCTTATGTTTAGGATTATAAAATAAATACCAATTCAATAAAGAGAGGTTGTAAAGATTGAATGCAAAGCATTTGGGTTAAGCTTTAGATTAAGTGATTAAATTTCATGAGAATGACGCAGATTTATTAGAAGATGTAAAGAAATATTCGAAGGATCTTATGGAGTAATTAAAAAAAAATATTTTCGAATTGAAACTAGAGGAATCAAATTATTTTGAATTAAATCAATAGGTAAAAAAAAAATTAGATGAATTACATGAAAGGGGTAATTAAAAATGATAAATTTAGGAATCAAATTATATTTGGACAAAAAATATGAAGAAGCAATAAATTTATTAGATACTATTTTACTCATTAATCCTTATCATATAAATTCATTATATCGGAAAGGTAGAAACATCATAAATAAATATAATAGCTAGGTCCTTATATATGATTCATAATTATAATGATGCAATTGTATGGGTTGATAAGGTTTTGTCTATCCTAAACATTGCAACTCATTATAAATAAAAGGTAGACAGATCATATACTAATGAATTAGCTAATTCTCTAAGAACGATTGGGAAATATAATGATGCCATTATATGGGCTGAAAAAGCTTTGTCTATTGATTAAAAGGATGTCAACACATTATATACAAAAGGTATAAAAT